ATTATAATCTGATATATACATATAAAAGAAGTAAAAAAAGTTTATATAAAGAGCATAGAAAAAATTTAGTTTCTGTACGTACGCACATATCTTTATTTAAGTTCTACAGTAGATACTTTCTAGATATATATATATTAAAATAACAGGTTTTGTTATAGCGATAAATATAGTTTTATTCGTAGTACCGGTATGTAAAAAAAATAAGTTAAAGCAATATCTAATTATATAGAGACTGTACTAAAACAGGCATTATTGGGTTTTTGACGGGTCTATTTATAAAGCCCGGACCCGGCCCGGTATTTTATATACCCGGTTCAGACCCGGCCCAGTATTTTTTTAGCCCAGCCCGAACCTGGCCGGTATTTTTTAGCCCGGCCCAAACCCGACCCAATCAATTTACGGGTCTAAAATTTAGGCCCAGACCCGGCCCGACCCGCAAATTTGCGGGTCTGACCCGGCCCATTTCGGACCCTAGTTTACACCCTCACCAAATTTTATTTTTATACTGTACAATTTTTTTCTCATAAATTCGAAAAAAGAAAAAAGTGATCAATGTAGAGAACATATATTTATCTAATCCGTGACTTCGAGCAATGAAATTGCGAGAAGGCGCTGGGATTCCAGCCGTTTTCCAATGCTATTCTTGAGATCATAATTGAGTAATATATTTTTTACATTAATATGCGTAGATCGGACGATCTGATTTTCTATAAGTTTCGCCGGTATTTAAATTGTAGTAGTAACCTTCATCATCGTCAGAATACATTGCGCCCATATAATCATCATTATTCTCACTATCATCAGAGTCTGATGTGTCACTAGAATTATTTCCCTCTGGACAATCTGGGTTAGAGTCATGAACTGAAGCAGTGGCCACGCTCTCGGAGGTTTCGTTCGCTACCTCAGTTTCTGGTAATGTTTTCTTGGCTTCCTCACATGCTTCAGTTTTTGATATTGAATCGGTGGAAACGGGTTCAGTCGTATGAGTGCGTGACTTTTGGTCACGCAGTGAAGCATCTGTATTAATGAAATGGTTCTTAATTGTATCGATTTGCATATCAGTTAACTTCGAGAGTTTATTTGCACTGTAAGACTTAATTTCTCCAATTGCGCTAAATAATTTATATATAGGTTTAGTTCTTTGGGTTCTTTTGCGCAAGTTTACACGAGAAATATTGTAGCATTTCATCATAAATCTGTCCACTTGCTAAATCATTGGCTCTCTTATCATTTCTTTGATTTTCGGGTAAAATGTCATCAAGTCTTTTTTCGAAATATTTTCTATATTGATACCAGCTCGTAATTTCTTCCAGCTTGGCTCGCATAGTATTATTTTCTGCCAAACTTGTTTTTTCAAATAGATGGACCAGTTTGATTGCAGGTGATCGATCAATAACAAGACCTTCCTCTACATTAACAATTCTAATGCAATCTTTTTCTGAATATTCTAGAAGTAATTCCTGTATCAAAGGCTGTATATCTATTTCGGATGCTTTTATTTTCTGCAAGTTAGTATTTTGCAAGTTAGTATTTTGCTCTGTAGAGGATTGTTTTAATAAATCAGAGCCATTAGAGATTGGTTGCGACTTTGTGAATGACTCCAAATTTTGATCATGTAATAATTTCGGATCTTGATCGTTAACGGTTTCTATAACATGAGATAAGTTGGAGGAAACGTTTTGGATAGTTGATCCACATTTAAGCTTCCTTTCCCTATTGCGTTGCCTTATCTCGTTACTAACTCTTTCCTTTTCTTTTAGATCTAGAAAATCATCATCTGCTTTGTCTTCCGGGGATTTGGGCTCTGTATTAATCGATTGACATACATCAAAATTTGATATGTTATCTGATATATCAGATGCGAGAGCATCCTCACTTTGTGAGACTATCTGTTTATGATTATTGATAGAATTTATTTCAGAAGAAACAGGTACTTCTTCACTTATTAAAGCCGTGTCCTTGTCTTGCAAGCTTTGTTCCTTGATTAATGAGACGTCATATTCTAGTTTAGCAATAAGGTCAGTTTTTTCTTTATCGCTCTGTTCAATTTTAGCAATAAGGTTGGTCTTTTCTTTATCTCTCTGCTCTAGATTCGTGAATCTGGTTTCATGTTCTTCTAAAGCTTGTTTTAATTTTGCATTTTCAGCCTCGACTTTAGCATTCTCGTTTCTAAGTTCACTATTCTCAGCCTGAAGCTTAAAATTCAATTCTTCTAATAAATCGATTTTGGATTGTGTGTTTGCCATTGTTTTATATAAGATGCGGATATATTCAAAAGTGAGTTTATAAAAATTAGTAGTGCGTGACTTTTGGTCACGCGGTAAACCACTAAAAAAATCCGATCATATATGGGCATCGATATCAATACAATAAAATAAATTCACGAAATACACATGCAAAAGTAAACTAATTACGTATGCGAAATCAGCCACCAGGGCCAGCTTTATTAATACGATAAGAAAAGTAAAAAAAATCATAAAAAAAGGATTTGCTCGATGAAACAATACACTTTTTTATTTGGTGATACGTTATAAAAAATACATGAGTTATTAAAATGTTGTAGACATTGACATGCTAGATCCCGATCTTTCATTTCCAACCATATTAGGCAAACGATCGATTCTATCCTTAATCCGCACGAAATTGTTGACTATTTTTTCTAAATAACACTTTACTTTCAATGAACTTTTCAAAAAATCTTCCACAACCTGACGGTCAGAAACTCTTAAGGGGATGGTATATTCACAGATTCTAAAAGAGCGATAAAAGGAATTATTGTAAAAGTCAATCCCAAAAACTAGCACACGATTACTTATCACTTGGATTCCTATGAAAGGGATTTGGAGAAGCTCATTGATCAGACACTTAGCTTCATCAGCATCGACAACTTTCTCCTTAATCAATTCGTTGAATCTAGCGTCAAATCCATCCTTACATAGACGATTCAATTTCTTCCAATCATTGCTCTGCTTATCTGCACGAGGGTCTAATCGCGAAATCTCAGTAAATACTAACTCCCACTTATCCGAGTCTAGCATTAGAAGAACTTGCAAGTCTGGCCTATCTCCAGAATGGATAGAACGCATCAACTCTTTTCGTGCTTGGGATGAATTAGACACCTTTTCCCTAAAAAATCAACATTGTTAACTATATCATTGAATAAGAAATAACAGTAGAAGCAAAAAAGTTTGAACATTTCAGCAGAGTTGGCACAAGGTGCCAATGTATTATACCATGATCGTTTAAGATTCCATTTATAATAATTAAAGATGGGATCTACGACTCTGGAAACTGCATGAATCACGTAGGAGTTTTCGCTATACTCTCTTTCACCTAATAACGGTCTCAAACTCCAACAATTTCTCCTATGAATTAAGCGGATGATTAATTTAACCAAGAAATGCAAAATATGATTGATTGTATTATTCCACTTACAGCCCTTCTAGTAGATCGAATGTTGTTAATAAAACCTTACGTTCACCCAAATTATTTTCGTCTCGTGGGAATGTAATAGGGTTAACAAGAGCCGGATCGAAATTGGGACCCAATAACTCGTACGTATTAATAAATTCATTCAGCATGGTGATCGTTTTTTCTGAAAATTCCGGTTCACTTAATTCAATTTCCTCAAGAACCTGTTTAGTCTCCACTGATAACTTATCTGCCACGCTATCTACTCCTTCAGAAATATCTATAATTCCGGATGCTATTGGATCACCCGAATCGATAGAAGTCAAATCAAGCTGTTCTAAACACCCGCGAACTTCGTTTAGCACTCCCTCAACTTTCATGGAGCAACCGGCATTTACCGCATTAATCTATGAAGAATTCGATATTAGGACTTCAAAAAATAATAAGATGTGAGAATGCATATTTGTATTTTTTACTTACACAATTATCGATTATTTCGGCAATATTTTTCCGGATAATCTCCTGATTCTGCTGTCTTTCTTGTTCTTCACGCTAAATCGGATGTATTTTTGATTAGCCAAATATAATGAATATCATCAAAAATAGATCAATAGAATTTACCCGTCTTTTTTCCGCCTGATACGCTCCACTAAACATTTCTTGTCGTTGTCCCTATAAGTATGTAATAGATAGATTAAACCACTAGAATATTTTGATGAATATACCATAAAATATTTTTCGAAAATCAGAATTGCTATAGATGTGTTTCATATTTAATATACATTAGTGAGTTAACACGCCGACAGACGATGACGAGATACTCGAAGGCATTGCCCGTATCGAACTTAGCAAATTGCCCGGACGGTGAAACTCATGCACCTGAATCCTTTGATGAATACAGAGTCGACTTTCTGCAGAGCTAAGGCGTACACTTATAATTGTTGTGCACGTCCGGATACAGGGCATTGACATAGGCCTATGTCTATTTAACCACACTATTGGAAACATCATTTTATTCGATAGAAATATAGATTGATTATCATTTTCAACTACTCACCCGGGGTATCTTCGAAAACCTCTGAGATATTTGTTCCAACTTTTTTACAATGGTACCTAATTTTTGATGCTTACACATTGTTATAGCATCGCTGAGCTCATCAGTGTATTGCTTTACTGCCGTTTTGAGAACGCTCTTTCTCAATAGCTCTACAGTTGGAAAATACACTTGAGGTAACCACGACTTAAAGTACAATTTTCCATATGTCTCACTACGGTTGCGGTAAAAGAAGTTAGTGGTGTTAGACATTTTGAAAGTAATAGGTATTAGTTCGATTTTTTAATCACTGTAAAGCGACAAACTCCCATAACTTCATTATACTCCCCTTTATAAATGGAATTCGCTCTTCTCTGAATGGCAGGACAATAGCAGAAAAAGGACCTATATGGGGTGTCGTAAGTTAAAAGGACCCATTTTTACAATTTTTTGAAAAATGAGTTTTCGTTAGATTCATATAAATTTTGATTGACTTTTTTTAATTATAAATGAAAGTCGATTTGCATAATAAAAAATCAAGACACGTCACGAGATTGCCCGATAGTCACCTGCCGTCTTTAACCAATCAAAGTCGTGAAATTTGATTAATCCCGGATCAGTCCGAAATCAAAACAAATTATTAAACTCAAAAATAAAATATATGTAAAAATGAGCCCTTTTAACTTACGACACTCCATATCAGTCACAGGACATGTCCTTTTACAGGGGTTCCAAATGTTGTTCATATGATAATTTAGATGTCGATCATTAAATCTTTATATAGAAATTTCACCCTCGCAAAAGGTTTTTTCTATGACGACTCCAAATTTGTGAAACAATCCGACTATCGCCTTTTAAATCAAAAATATAGCTTGAATATGGTTCTATTAAATTACGAAGTTTCGGTTCTTAACTCTTTCTAGTTCGAATAAAATCTTCGGTTGAATCTTAAGTGTACTAGCCCCTGTAATACATATGGTTCTGATCAATTTTACAGCAACGACCTTCACGACAGCACAATTTCTCTAACTTTACTTCCCTAACAATACGATTTCTTAACGATCTACACGGTTCTAACCAATTTTACAACCTTCAACAGTTCTCAATTTCTTTAACTAACAACACGGTTCTGATCAAATTTACGACGATCTCCCCGACAACTCAATTTCAACACGATTTCTTATGACTTTCCTATTTTTCCCTTAGCTTTTGCTTTCCTATGATCTTTGGTCCAGGACGATCTGGGTAAGTATTATTTTTATTAGCTATTTGTTATTTTTGTTTTTGTGCTCCTTATTAATTTTCTTGCACATTTTGTTATTTTGGATCTGGCTTCCATTCTAAAGATTTTGTCTTTTCTTCGTGGACTGAGTTTGGAGATCTCTGGAGATTGCGGTGCTAGACTTAGATAAGTATTTTGCACTTCCCTTTCTTTTATTTTTCTTATCTACTGAGCTTGTGGTCTTCTTTTTGTAGGTTCACTTGTTCGGATCTTTGGATAAGGTGCTGAGAACTTCCGCTGGTGTTCTTTTCTTCGGTTCTTGTGTGGGCTTTCGGACGTGAGAAAATATTTATATTTTTATTTATTATTGCTTTTTGTTTTAATTTCTTTAATACCTGATACTAACTATTTTTCTTCTGATTATACTGAAATGGGTCATGGCGATATAAGAATCAGATAATTGGGGTTCTTTCAACTACAATAGAATGCGATTCTAGCCGGGTTTTATTTTGAAGAGAGCTTTTAAGATAAGTAGTGGAATTTTCTTTTTATTTTGATTGCAATCTTTGTTCTCTGAACGCTTTACTAATGATATTCTTTTTTATTTTAGAACGCCGGAGTGGGACTTGAGAAAATGGGCTTTTTGGTGGCCGAACATAAAACACCGGGCTTTGGTTAGGCGTAGCTGGTAGAGTGAATTGCCCAAATAGAAAGGGATAGAAGCACGAATTCAAGTATAATTCTATTTTATTCTTGTTTTTGTTTTTTATTTCTTGTATTCTTTTACTAACAATTCTTTTATTATAGAGACGTTGTGGCGAAAACAAAATGAATGGACGTTAAGCGAAGCATAACACAACCAGATAAATTAAATTACAATTGTAATACGATAATTGTGATCGTGATGATAAATAGTTTCATGATATGTATAGTCTCGCCTATTGTTATATGCGCGGATAATTTCTACTTTGCACAATAGTTATTATAGAATGAAAAAAATATTATATTAAATAAAGTATATTTGATATGTATAAAATTATTTATTTTATTTCTTTATTCAAAATATTATATTAAATGAAGTTTTCAAATTTAAATATATAAAAATTATTTATTTCTTTGTTTAGAATTTGTATAATTATCTTTTACAAAATAATAAAATATGGCATTATCAATAAAGTCGTATACCTTCCTTCAAAGTAGCATGTATAGTTTCGAAATAATACCATGAAACCTGAAATAATGTAAGATCTTATAAGGTTACATATCGAATTCTTTGATTTATTAGATTCTTTGATGTGGTGAATTCTTTGTAAGTTAGCCAATCAATAATGTTAGAAAATCAGCCTTTGTCTCGAATAACATACATGTAGACTCAGTAATACACATGTATTTGACATACTCGAAATCATACGTGGATAGGCGTTATTACACGAAAATGCAGATGTTTGATGAAATGAGTAGTTGTGCAATCATTATGGTGTTTCGAAAAGGTTTCGCCCGAATGAACATCTTTTGTAACATATTTCATAAATTTTTCGTTCTAGTGTGATCTTTGTTGTGGCAAATTATTTCAAAATCAGAAAGATAGCCCAAAGATCGATCGAATTCTATCGCATTATATCTTTTTACCTATTGTATAAACTGAAAATACAATTAACAAATAAATGTATGTGTAAATAGTCTCGCCACTCTGAACACCAATTCCTGTAAAAATATAAATCTTGCAATATTTCGATTTTGTTTCTTTTAAAAAACAATCTAATCATAATTATATTGTTTAATTCACGAAACATTTTAATCAAAATGACTAATTTTGAATCTACTTACTTGGAGAAATTCAATGCATTAGAAGAAAACCATGAATATTTTGCTTTTGACGAAGCATTTGAAACATATAGTGTAAAATTCGTCAAACAAAATATAACCGGTAATATCACTGACGAAAAGACCGTAATGTTGAAGATTAAAGCAGTCCAGAGTAAGAGAAATCGCCTACCAATGCTTCTTGCAGAATACGTTAATGATATTGTGACGGACCGAAATACTCGTGCAATCAAATCGCGTAAAGATTCACTTCTGTTCTTGGTTGCAAATCTGTCATCAGCTTTTGACCGTCCAAATCCTGTAACACATCTATTCAAAGATGCACTGGAAAGTAAAGAGAGTATTGAGAACTTTCTTTCTTTATATGAGACTAGAAAATGTGTACAAAACTAAACCTCGAACTTCCAAACGTCGTGGAGTCAAGCACTATTGGAAAAATAACCAGTGCAAGAATGTTCAAAAATAAAATAGTGTTAGATCATTGTTTGTGTATAAAAATAAATTCGGTAGATTTACCTTTATTAAATCTAGAATTCTGTTATTACATAGTTAAATGTTTCGTGTTTCAAACCTTCATGTAGTTCTTATTACTTATCTAGAATTCAAAAAATAAAGATTAATAAAACTTTAAAGATCTTTAAAAATTCTTTTAAATACCATGTTCTGTCACATGTAAGCGTCCTGGTTTGGTTAAAATCATGTAAAAATATTCTACTTAATCATTTTTATAGAAGGTAAAGATAAAATAATCTGAATTAACCCTCTAATTTACCTTATAGAAAAAGTACCTTCTAGCAAATGCCTAAAAGCCACAAGTACCCTTGGCTCTTTATTCACTATCGTTAACAAAATAAAGTTGGCTTTATTTCACAATATGTGATACAAAACGAAACCACAAAATTCAAAAAATAAAACTTGTCTAAGGTCGAAATATTGTTTGCTAGCAATTATTCAAGGTGGTTAAAAAAAGTCATGTCGATTTATATTACACAAAAATTAAATTGTTACCACAAATCGCCATATACAAGACCCGGGTCTCTTATATTTCACCAATTTTAAAACCTATAATAGACTCCGGGTTTAGTATGCAGCCGAAATTTCATATCATTAAAAGAAAAACCTTGAAGAGTATGCACAATTTGCATTTATAATAGGCAGTCCAGATATTTGAAAAAGCTCAGGTTTGATTAATATAGATAAGTGATTCGCACCCGAGTATACTACGTGGTGGGTCTTGTATATGGCGATTTACGATAGTAAAATCATCGATTAGGTCATGTCCTGTAACTGATACGCACTTCCATAAGATCATTCATATAAGGTCACATATCGAATTCTTTATTAAATTCTTTAATGTAATAAATTTTTTAATAAATTAGACAATCCTATAAATATTGTAAAGTGCTATGTTAGAAAATTGACCCTTGTTTCAAGATAACAACGCAAAGTAACACGCACATACCCCAAACATATTTGAAATAATGCGCAGATAGATGTAATTATGCGAGAATATGGTTCATTTGATGAATTAAGTCATTGCGCAATCATTATGGTGTTTTGAAAAGGTTTTGCCCAAATAACTATCTTTTGTTCTCTTGATACATTTATAAATATTTCATACGATAATGATCTTTGTTTTGACAAATAGTTTGAAATTAGAAAGAAAAGCTCAAAGACCAACCGAATTGCTATCTTTTTCTTTGTTTAGACAGAAAATTCAATTAGTAAAATAAACGTATATGTAAAAATAATATCAAAATTTGCAAAAAAAAGATATAAATAGTCTTGCCATTCTGGACATTAATTCCTGCTAAACATAAATCTTGCAATACATTGATTTCGTATCTTTTAAAAACAAACTATAGTTGTATCGCTTAATTCACAAAACTATTAAATAAATTATATCCATTACTTAGTTTATATTTTTTTTTATAAAATAATATATTTAAACAAAATGACTGATTTTGAACCCACTTACTCGGAGGAATTCGACGCTTCAGAAGAAAATTACTCGGAGGAATTTGATGCTTCAGAGGAAAATTATGAAGAAACTTTCACCATCCATCCAATGATTCTTGAAAATGCGCAAGCCTTACTACATGATGATGAAAGTGAAGATATTGAGATAGATGAGGTTGAATCTGTAAATTCTGACTCCTCTGAAGAACCGTTTCAAACAATAGATGATGAAGTAGATGTAGAAATTGAAGAAATTTCTGCGCAAATTCCAAATTTAACGCCATATGTAGTTATATATAGTGATCATGGCGAGATAAAATGCTGTAATAGTACCACAAATCTGCGACGATTGCGACAATTGGTAGGAACGTGGGAAATAGATGCACATACAGTCAAAAATATTCAAGGAAATAGCGAGACAAGTATGCGACATTTACGACAAGCAGTAGGAATATAGAAGAACGCACATACACTTGATCGACTTGGTGTATGTTATAATCATTTTCTATTTGATCAGAACCAACTTCATGATCGAGGCATGAAACAAGAACGTTCAGTTAATAAAAGCTTTGTTCATTTTCGTATTTGTCTTTTCTGTAATAAAAAGAAATGTTTTTTTAGCCATGGCAACTGTTGTACAAAACATTCTTGGAATATCAATGAACGGAATATTCAAGTACCTTGTATTGGTGTTTATGACTGTCCTGCATTTTCTGAGGGACATATTATTAAAAAATCATCTTCCGGCTATCGCGCACGTTATATTTGCACAGAATGCTTTCATCAAAATGGTGGGCATTTGTATGAAAGACTTGGTAAATCTAAAAAATTTCAATCATGTAAACTTGAAAAACACCGTGATGATGCTAGTGATGCTCTAAGGCTTATTGGAAAATGGTTAGTATCAGTCGCAGATTCAGATGATTACAAGCTACAAGAACGACTCTTATTTTATATATCCCCAACATTGGCTATTTTTGATAATAAGACAATGAATAATAACTTATCAGAGACAGAAAAAGCAAAATCTCCGAGTAAGTTAGCTGTTAGAATAGTAATGAGAATGAGAAAACTTGAATTGAATAGAAGAACTAGGAAAAGGCCTTACATAACTTCGAAAAAGGCTTTGACAATAGGAGAAAAATTGGGAAAAGAAATTTTATATTCACATCCTGAAGTTAAAGAAAATATAAGCCAATTAAAAAACTCATGCTCATATGAAGATTATTTTAATGCATTGCCTAATATTATTCGTACCTTTTTTCAAGCCCTCCTTACAGTATTGGAACAACACAGGTGAAAAATCATTAATAATAAGAGGTTTCAACGTGGACTTCCTTTAAAATCGCAAGATACAAGTCAGATAACAAAAACTACAACTTTACTAACTTCAATACTACTTACTATTGCTTTTCCCAGAGCAAAAATTTGGCTTTCAAACATAATGTCATCAATATGCCAAAATCCAAAATTATTGCCACATCTACGAGAAATTCTTCGTTCAGCATCTGTTATCGCATACACTAAAAGGCACGAGAGTTGTCTTGAAAAATTAAGG